AAGCAAGCCAGTATCCCATGGATGCTCCTGACTGGGGAAGGGGAGATGCTGTGATTGGCAACAGCATACTCAGTAAGGACTGAAGCCTTTAATAGGACATGAGAGCCTTCCACAGATAGCTATGTAGGACTACATCCAGAAGAACAAATTACTGGAAAGAGGTCAGGTGGGATTTGTCCCAGGGAAGTTGGCATCCAGTACCAGCAAGATTTGGAAGCTGAAGAAAGTACAAATGGCAGGGTGCTAAACACAGGAAGTGACTGTTTCTGAGGGTGAAAAGTAAAAGACTCCAATGAGCTGAAAAGATATGAACATGCAGATATGGGCTCTGAACTGCGATCAAGCAGAGATGGTCACTGGAGAAAAGTGACTAGAGAACTGACCTGGAAGTTTCCATCGAGAATCTCTGCTGTTATTTAACAGCCATAAAACAAAGAAGGACCGGCACCCTTTGTAGTTTTTATCCATAAGAAATAACCAGGAGCAGAATTCCTAGCCAAAATTCCTCTGAAGGGACAGATAGTTCTATTACAAAAGAGATCCTGAGTTGCATTACCTTTCAGTGCCTCAGCCTCCCTCTCTCTGGATGGAAGCAAGACGTTCCTACTTCACAGTTGTGTTGTGTATCCTAACTCATTAACATTACCAAGTTCTCTAAGAACCTCAGAAAGCATAAAATATTAACATCATATGAACTTCCCCATGATTACAAAAGGATATGCCACAGATAAAAGCAGGCAGCTGTACAATGCTCTATACTTGTCCTACTTAATACTAAGGAGGAGAACTTAGGAACAACAAGATGTATGACAAGTGGAACCTCATTACTGAGGCACAAGTTCAAGTATTCTCCCAAGATATATATTCCACATTCTGACTGTGGAAAATACACATTGAAGCAGCCTAGAAATGAAGGATTTTGGTGATTCTGAGCAAGAAGCTGGTTCAAATATGATCTCCCTCTCTAGGGAATTGTGTCTATTCCCTCTGTGCAGTAATAACCTTGTAGAATCAGACCTCAGGGTTATATTTCTCATGACAAGCTGCTAAGCATTGTGCAGAGGGATCATGGTGCTTCTAAAGTGGACTCAAGTTAGCAACAAGGAGGGCAGGGACAGGCAGTCTTACAGGAAGAGGTACTGTCTGTGCAGAAGGGAGCCAGTATGAGAGTGTGGCTGTACAGTCTATTCTTTCTGAGGCTGGTGCAACACACAATTAGCAGAGACTGAAATGCAACAGGTAAGGGGTCCTGATGTGTGGTGCAATAAGGGAGACCACAGAAACTGAGATCAATGATGTAACAGCCAGGCCATTCAGAGCACCTGTGAAAAAAAGCGTGCATCCAAAGAAAATCAGTGAGAGAGCAGAAATGAATCCCAGCCAGCGACCGAGAGGAAGACCAAGTTTCTACAGAACCTATGAACTGCATAGGCTCCCTGGGCAAGAGCAGAAAAATGGAAGGAAAACCTGCTACTGGGAAACAAGGGAGAGGTGATAAACCCTCCCCAAAGATGGAGACACAAAGTTCTGATTTTTGCACTTACAGTCTGGTAAGAGGAGGCAGAGACTGCAGAGCTGAAGGATTAGGACGGGGGGCTGGGGGGGGCGGTGCTCAACAAACACTTTTTATAAGCAGCCAGGATCTTGGTTTTACTGCTCAACAGAAAGATCCACATACCATAAATTGTGAAATAGTCAGTTTCACTCTCATGCTGAAAGAGCATGATCTGGGGTTTGAATTCCTGAGTGCAATGATATGAAACCCAGGGGCTGGATCTTGCAGTCACCAGCTCAATACTTACACCAGATAGAGGGAATAACCTGGAGCTTACAGCCAGCACAAATTTTTACCAAGGCTTTAACTGAAGTAGAATATGAAAGATATGAATTGGCCAGAGTGTGGCTTACCAGGGCCAGGACAGGCAGAGAAGCCTCAGGAAATGGACACTGGAGAGACTGAACTGGAGAGCTGCTGAACAGCTGGACATGCTGCTAAAAAGAACAGCTCAATGAGCAGGCAGGCCGCTAGAGAATTTGGTCTCCAGTATGGAGAACAAGCAGGCCCCCTGGCATCAGAACGAGAGAATTGTGCTGTTTGCACAGGGAACAAAGGAGATGTCAGAACCATCTGGGGCTGAGGGAGTGCCAGATGGATAGGGAAAGGCTCCAAGGAGGGCTAAGGGGGCTGAAGTTGGAGCAGCAGAAATAAATCCTGCAGGAACAACAGGTGAAGGAGGAAAATCCTGGGGATGGGAAGCACAGGGAGAAGGAAAGCAGTAGGAGGGTCCAACAAGGGAGGAGAGGCAGAAGAAATACCTGCCAAAGCAGGACTTACCAGAAGTGGGATTGGCTTGAAGACCTCAGGTACAAGAGTCCCTGGGCCTTGTGGAGGCAGAGAAGCTGATGATGAATTGCATAAGCTGTGGAGCAGAGCTGAAAGCTGAGGCAGAGTGCTGATACCAGTAAGGCAGGGAGGCAGCATGCTAGGCGTATGGGTGCTTCAATCAAGGGAGCCTCTTAGAAATTGAGGAGGGAAAGTCTGTGCCCTCTGTCCACCCTTGTAAATCTGATATTTACAATGTCTGGTTGAATTGCCAACCCCGGTTGAGATCGCCCTGCCCCCAGGGAGTGATCAGCCACAGATCCTGGTCCCCTGCCTTCTACCCTCCCTTGGATTTGAAGAAAAACATTCAAGTTTCTTTCCCTTCCTTGTCTCCTTTCTTCTTTTGTGTCCCTGAAAGACAGAGAAAGAGAGAATGAGAGGAAAAGGGCAGAAGAAAGGAGACAGCAGGAGTGCAGAGTTGAAGCCTCTATGTTTCCCAGTACAGAAGACAAAAAAAATTAAAGGGAGAAAGTTCTGGCTCAAGCTTATGTAGTTACTTGTGGGGTTTCAGAACTGTTTGCCTCCTTCCAGTAGGTGGCATCATAAAATGTTGCATGTCCCTTAATCCACTGTTGTAGAATGGGAGAAGAGAGAAATGTATGACAGTTTTCAATTATAAAACAATTTGAGAAGACCATCTAGTATTTAAGTACAATATATAATTCCTTAGCCAAACAACTGATTGGCCTATTTGAATTTGTATGCTACTATACTATAGCATAAAGTATGCAAAATAAACGACTTTTGGTTTCAAGAATGGAGTTAAACTTCATTAGTTTGTGCTTAACTGTCTGTCTTTCAAGATATCCAAACAATATAATTGTAAACCAATCTAAAAAACAAACAAAACAAAACTCTAAATGCACTATATTTTTTTCACAGCAGTGGAAACTGAGTGCAAGATAAGAGTAAGGATATATGTACATATTTTTCATTCGAATATGTTTCAGGGTAACAATCTCGGCATTCGGAAGCAGGCATATGCCAGGCATGGTACAGAACATGGGAGTACATTTTCAAAAAAACTGTCCTAAGGATGCAAATCTAAAAAACCCCCAGTTTTTCCAGGCAGATTTTTCATTTGGTATGCAGTTGGGTCACTATTAGCACATGCAATATATAGCGGACATGCATTTGCATGGGGAATATGGTTGCATGCTCAAAAACTGTGTGTACAAAAAGTGGGAGAGGCATGGGAAGCTTTTAGGTTAATTTTCTCTTTGAACACATGTAAGGGAGTTAATACAGGGGTTAAGACCCTGTATCAAAGGGGAATAGACCCGTTCACATAGGTAATTTGTTTTATGCATGAAAATGTAGTCAGTGTTACTAGACATCTATATTTTAGTATTCTTTGTTAAAAGACTGTAGAAATGAAAAATCTATTTATACTATACATAGGTTTAAGAACAATTAATCTCATTTCATCCCACTTGATGTGATATCAACATCATTGATGATGGTATGTACATATAGTTCTGTACAATGTTACAATATGTCTCTCCCTAGGTTTCATTTTAAAGCTATTAACAGATCAACGTATGGTCTTTTCTGATGTGCATTTCCTTATCTATCTCCCTTCTCTACTAGTGTAAGATGCCAACAAGTCTTTTAGCTTTGAGTTTAGTGGTAAACGAGGCTGAAATACCAATGGTGATATCTTTATTTCTGTGTTAAAATGTAGATATTCTAATTACATTTTTCAGAGAGTAAATTGCAGCTGTATGGACAGATGAAGAAATTCACCCTTGTGCTGAAGGATACCACATGGCATAACTACCGCCAGTGTTGAAGGACATCAGTGGTGCTGGCCCTCAGAACAGGTTGAACCTCACCCAGGGAAAAATGAGCTCCAAATAGTTTATGAATTTGAAAAGATTTAAGACAATTTGTTTGTTGATATTTATTTTGGTCAGGATTTTCAAAACCAAGTAAGCAATTTAAGTGTCTAATTTCCATTAAAAGTTAATAGCTCCCTTAGGTACTTTTGAAAATCTTGCTTGATGACAATAAGCAGTCAGATGGGCACTCATACTAAGCCTTGTATGCGTAGAGATAAGTGCCAATTTTGTGTGCACAAGTATAGACCTGTTAGTTATCAAGTATTTAAGATTTTTATTTTAATAATGGTTAAACAGTGGCTTCAATGCTTATAAAGGGTGCTAGATTGTCATGGCAAATTCAGTCTCTATGACCATTTTTTCCTTGATCTCTCTACTGAGACTGCCAAAAAATGATAAAGGAGTGCAAGTTGTAGTGTTCTGTTTTTTTATAACAGATAGCTGTCCACTAAGAACTAGATAGAATGAACTCCATTCCTACCTCCTCATATTTCACACTAATTTAGTATTTTTAAAATGTTCACAAATTTAGTGAACATGTGGACAATTTTATTGGTAAATACATCCCTAAATATAATGTAGAATACATGGAATAGAACTATTGCTGATTTTATATATGTAATTTAAGAACTGATAAGCAGCATAATGGTATTTTGAAGGTTGGTAGGTAAAGTACAGCATCCTATGAGACTCCAAAATAACATATGGATTTTTAATGATAATGAGAGGTGATGGTAAAATATGGACTAGACAGCTTAGCAAAATAAAAGCATTACCTGGAACCTCTTTTCAGCAGCAGATAAGAAAAAGAGAATGATTACTTATATAAGTTTGGCTCTCAGCAAAATATTTAAAGGGAAGAAAGAAAATTAACTTTTTAAAGTGCTTTTTTTAAAAGAGCAGAAGAGAAATTGTGTCTATAATAAGGGGTTTATTCACCTCTCCAAGGATCATACACAACCACTGATTTTTGCACAAAACTACCATTGACTTAAATTAAAGTTCTGCACAAGCAGTGGAGGGTGGATGTGATCCAATAAGAATAACTCCGAATGTAAGCAAGAAGAGGAAATGTGTGTGTACGTGGGTGTAGAGAGAAGTGAGGACCTCTGATGAATGATAAGCATTTAACAGAGTTGATAAGTACAGCATCTGAATCATTCAATCTAAAAAATGACTTGAAACTGGTAATTTCTCTAAATAAGAAGACAGATAGGATAGATTCAAGTCACTAATAAAAGCAGATGCAACACCTGTACAAATTTACACAACAAAATATATTAGATTATACTGAAATGCAATTGTCTCAGCTCACCAAATTGCAGGCATGTGGTACAGTTAATGATGAACTGTACAGCAATGTTTCCTAGCTATCCTCAGCATGCTGATTGGTTGTAGGGTTCTGTTTCATGTAGTCATTATTGAGAAAAATCATACAACCATATAAAATGCATATTCCTATATTCTGACAAGTTAACAGCCTTTATCATTAGTAATCAGAATGCTTGGGTTTGGTCTGGTTATTGTTCAATAACTGCACTGTGAATATGCACATTTTCCACTCTGGATAGCAACTATAATCTTTTTGCTCTGACTTGCTTTTGTTATAAGAATGTTCAAGCTGTTTGGCAAAGATGCTAGCTCAGTTATCACTCCTTGCAGATGAAACAGAAGTAATTTAGAATTTGCTTAAATGAGAAGGAAGCACAAAGCAAAGCAAACAGGGTTATTAACCTGCTAAAGGAAAATAAAATTGAAAAAATCCATTCAACTCATTTCCATTTTCCCTCTCCTCCCAACTTAATCCCCAGGTCAGCAAGGCTCTGGTTTTCAGAATATCTGTTTTTGCATTGTTTCTTTACAATGTGAACATTTCAGCCCCTCTCTCCCAATTCAATTTCTAAAAGTTCAATTTCTCAGAGTTTCCAATCAACAGACTCAATGTTTCATTATTTGTTCTGTTAGAGGGGCAAGTCACAGCTAGATCTTTATCACTAGAGTGCCAAATACATCTGGATATACTCCAGGAGCAGGCATGATCCAGCATCATTGACAGGCACTCTTCTCCTGGACTGGAATCAGGAGTTCCTTTAGGATTTTCCTCTGATTCTCAAAAAGAAGAACAGGAGTACTTGTGGCACCTTAGAGACTAACAAATTTATTAGAGCATAAGCTTTCGTGGACTACAGCCCACTTCTTCGGATGCATATAGAATGGAACTGTGGTTCCAGAAGTTAATTAAGAAAGTAAGATGGGATGAAAGCAAAATGCTGTGGATAATCCTGGCACAAGCCTGGAAGTTTTGGTTCTCTAATCCTCTGGAACTTGAAACCGCAAGTCCTGTTTCCCAGTCTACTAGATTTCTTGTCTCAGGAGTGGGGCAAGATTCTCCATCTAGATTAAAATTCTCCCCAGGCTGACAGCTTGGCCTCTGGACTGTTGGGAGCCCAAGTCAAGCTGGGAGCCACCTCAGATTTCTACACTCATGTTTGTGGGTTGGCAATCTGCTCATCATACAGTAACACATTTCTGAAAATTTTTTCCACGTATTTTCTCTGGCATATGAACCAGATGTACCGTGGTATCTGACTCTTGTTTTCATAAAGCGCTGTTTGAACCTTGTTAAACTGTTCTGCGTGCCATCTGTCTGTGAAGATGGCATTGATTATAGCCACATCATGATCCCTTATTTAGTAAGATACAGGGTTGATGCTCCCTTCACTGTGTTCAAAAAGAATAAGGTGATCCTGTATCTTCACTCCAACTTCCTGTGTAAAGTGATCTTTGATTTCCATTTCAATTGGGACAGAAACCTGTGCATTTTCGCCCTCCCCTGGTCTTATGCACATCCAGGGAGATAAGGATCCATATTTGAGATGTCCAGAAGGCCTTAAGTTGTTATATATAAGCCAAAATTATCTGCAAATTCCCCTGACTTTTGAAGTATGTAACAAGACCAGGGTTCAACCCATCTTGGTTTACAGGCTGTCCAGATGAATAAGATTAGGTATACAACACTGTTATGACATGACAGATATTCAGCCACATGGAGATATCAGAGGACACTCAGCTAAGTCTAAGGCAGCTTCTATGATATGTCTTTGCACAGTATCCATCACTGAAATACCCAGGGCTATTGCTGGAACTCTATTTTTTCATCATCATTCCTTCAACTTGTTTTTGAGATGTCTTACCCAATTTGAGAGAACAATCTTATCATCTTTAACTAATACACCTCAAACCCACACTGCTAGGATCAGCCTACCTTGCCCGGTGATGTATCCGCTGCCTCAGTTTCTCCCTTCTTGGTCTCATCAATAAATGCAATGAACTCATGCTCCAAGTAACATCCCCTTTTTGGGGTCTAATTTATTAATACCACATAACAGTTCAATGTCAAATCAGATCTTCCAGACCTCTTCCCCAGGCTGTATGGGTCCTTCTTGAATCCAGCTCTTTTCCTGATGAGGCTTCTTCTCTTGCTCCCTGGCAAGTGTCTCCTGTCTCAGTTATGCAGAGAGACCTTTCCTATACCTTTTCTTTGACCCAAAGTCTCTTCTCTGTCAGAACGTGCTTCTTCCACTTCTGGGTTGCCACCAGGTTACCCTTGGTAACTTGATTCTGCTGCAGGTCAGAGCCTTGAAACCAGGCATGGGAACATGCATGTGCACCCAAAGCACTAGGTTACATCCACCTCCTTTAAGGTCTTTATATCTTGATAATTTCCCAAGAGTAGGGATCCATATGAGCAATTCACAAAGGAAAAACACAGTTACATACTATAATCATTCTCAGATGATTGCCCACGTGGAACCATACTTCCCATCTATCTTCTGGAGTTCTTTGGAGCCTCTAAAGAGATTCCTGAATTAGTAGAAGGAGCTGAATAGTGATTGGAGACCCTCCACCTTTTATAACATCAAAACTCTGTGCAAGAGAGGGAGGGAGGGAGGGAGAAGCAGCCTTAATGGAACTGATTTTTAGATAATTCCAAGCTCATGAGTAGGAGCCATGCATCTCCTAACAGGGTGCTCTCCAGGGCTGGAGCACTCATGGAAAAAAATTAGCAGGTACTTAGCACCCACTGGCAGCCAGCTTACCTCCTCCTCCTGCCCATCAGCAGCCCTGCCGATCAACTCCTCCCCCTCCCTTCCAGCCCCTCTTGCTCACCTCAATCAGCTGTTACGCGGCATGCAGGAGGCTCGGGGAGGAGCAGGGACGGGGCACGCTCAGGGGAGGAGGCGGAACTGGGTGGGAAAAGGAGGGACTTGGGAAAAGGGGTGGGATGTGGCAGGGCCTGGGATGGAGTGGGGGGTTGAGCACTCCCTGGGCCCAGAGGAAGCTGGCACCTATGCCCTGGTGGATGGATGGTTTCCTTCTGCCAAGGAGGACCTCCCTAGTGGGTTGCAAGCATGTTAGCTCTAATAGGTTCAACCATGAAGCTTCCAAGCTGTGAGGTGAAGAGATTCTAGATTGGGATGCTGGAGCCAGCCATGGTCCTGGGTGATCAGGTCCGGAACTAAGGGCAGGATGATTGGGGTGTTCACCGACTGCTCCAGAAGTGTGGTGTGCCAGTGCTTGTGAGGCCAGGCTGGCACTATCAGTATCACTGAGGCTCCTTCCCTCCTGACTTTGAGGAGAACCTTGTGGACTAGCAGAATAGGTGGGAACATGTAGAACAGGTGGTCCTTCCAGGGAGGAGAAATGCATCCGCAAGCAAGCCCAGACTGTGATTCAGGGAGGAGCAGAACTGCAGGCACTTCCTATTGTCTCTCGTGGTGAACAAGTCGACCTGGCAAACTCTACACCATTGGAAAACCTTGTTCACCACATCTGGGTGAATGGACCACTTGTGATTGTGGAAAGATCTGCTGAAATGGTCCGCCAGCTCGTTTTGAGATCCGGGGAGGTAGGATGCCTCCAGGTGTATTGAGTAGACTATGCAGCAGTCCCACAGCTTTTGGGCTTCCTGACAGAGAAGAGAGGAGCCTGCTCCACCCTTTCTGTTTATATAAAACATCACTGTTGTATTGTCAGTCATGACTGATGTACATCTCCCTTCCAAGTGAGCTTGGAAGATCTGGCATGCCAGACGAACTGCCCTCAGCTCCTTGACGTTGATATGAAGCAAGAGCTCCATTTGGGACCAGAGGCCCTGAGTCCTGAGCTCTCCCAGATGCGCTCCCCACTCCATTGCTGATGCATCAGTGACCAGAGGCAGCGAGGAATATGGTTTGGAGAAGGGGACCCCCGTGCACACTGCTTGTGGATTGAGCCACCACCGGAGAGACTCGAGAACCTGCGATGGAAGCCTAACTACATTGTCCAGCATGTCTCAGCCTGGTCGATATGCTGATGCCAGTGAGGCCTGGAGAGGTCTGAGCCTCAGTCTCGCGTGCTGTACTACATATGTTCAGGCAGCCATGTGTCCAAGGAGCTTCAAGCAATTCCGTGCTGTGGTGGTGGGGTACTGTCTGAAGCCCTCTATAATGTTGTGAATTGTCTGTAATCGAGATTCTGGCAGGAATGCTCTGACTTGTCCTGAATAAACTCTATCCTCTGAGTGGGGGATAGTGTTGACTTTTGCATGTTCAGCAGGAGACTCAGTTTGTCGAAGGTAGAACTTATCATGCTTATGTGTTGCTCCACTTGTGCCTTGGTGCGGTCCTTGACCAACCAGTCGTCGAGGTACGGGAATACCTGCATCTGCCATTTCCTCAGGAAAGCAGCTATGATTACCATGCACTCGGTGAACACTCGAGGTGCTGCCGACAGGCCGAAGGGG